TGTGTTTTTGGAATTTGGTGCCTCTGAAGATGGGGATTGACAGAGGGAATCCCCGAGTGCTGTATTCAATTTTGACTAAACTCCTTTTCTAACACAATTTTTTGGGGTTTAGCAGTTTTTCTTTTATTATTCGCTAACAATCCCTGGTCACTTTGATGTGTAATGTGTGTATGTTGCATGGCGGCTGAATGTGTATAGTGTGTTTTAATGTTTTACACTTGTGAAATATTTAAAAAAAAATATTTGCATTGCCACCCTTGGGGGCCTTTAAATGCAAAACCCCGGGGACTTGATGGTAAACCCCCCGGGGCTAAATGCAAAACCCCCGGGGACAAAGAGCAAAAAACCCCGGGACTCTGTGCTCCCCCCCTGGGACTCTGGGCTAAACCCCCTGGGACTTATGCAAACCCCCCGGGGACTCGATGCAAACCCCCCTGGGACTAAGTGCAAAACCCCGGACTAAATGCAAAAACCCCCGGGGATAAGTGAAAAAACCCCCTGGGACATGCTAACCCCCTGGGACTCTGATGCTAAACCCCCTGGGACTAAGATGCTAAACCCCCTGGGACTCTGATGCTAAACCCCCTGGGACTAAGATGCTAAACCCCCTGGGACTAAGATGGTAAACCCCCTGGGACTAAGATGCTAAACCCCCCGGGGACTCTGATGCTAAACCCCCTGGGACTAAGATGCTAAACCCCCTGGGACTAAGATGCTAAACCCCCTGGGACTAAGATGCTGAACCCTCTGAGACTAAAAAAAGTCAACTTGTCTTTGTTATTTGCTTGCAGCCATGCTGGCTTACACTCACAGATCATCAGTGGTTATGCCAAAGGTGCCGACTACAGGCCTGGACAGAAGTTCACCCCAGGAACCAACCAACATTCCTGGAATGCAGTCTACATCTACGGCACCTGGTGCCTGGTGGATGCCCACTGGGCTGCCAGACGTATCATTGGAAAGCAGGCCACCAATGAGGACTTCCATTACCAGTTGGATGAGTATGTAATCTGTCACTGTTTCGTAATCAGATTGTCTTCATTGCATATTGAACATGTCCATAAATGCTTCTTAATTTTTTTCTCCAGCATGTTTCTTAGTGTCTTCATTCTTCTTCTTCTTGGCGTTCACTGGTTGTAAACTCTGGCAGAAAGTTCTGGTTGTTCGTAAACTTCTGGACTTTGTTCTTGATCCAGAACTTGAGTTTTGCGTGCACATCAATGTTACAGATCTGGCTGATGCAGACTGTTGATTACTTGCCTCTCGGGCAGATGCACTCTGATGTTGAAGGAAACACCCCCAGTTAGTCGCCTTCTACTATATTCTTATTAAGGGGACAGTGGATCTGTTCTGTGGTCTTCAAAATGAAGACATGAATCCCGCATGGGGAAGTGTGTTTATGCTGAAAACTCCTCTTCTGTGAATGCTGTGAATAAGAGCTCTTGCATGAGTTTTCACATCACTTGCTTTGTCTTCACTTATGAGTCAGGAACAGTTAGTATCCTCATGTTTGAGGTCTTCAACATGGTTGTCTTCAATTTAGCATAAAGGGTGCGGGGGTGGGGGGTTGGGTGGGTGGGAGGGGGGGGGGCAGGGGGGGGGGGGGGGGGGGTGTGTTACTTCTACCAGTATAATCAAATCTTGTCATCATGTGACTTACTAAATGGGAAATCATAACATGTGACATTCATATGTTAGCAAGATAACTTAACTTCCGTGGCCCCGCGCCCCTTTTTCCCCCAATTTTATTTTTAAATTATCAGAAACAGAAGAAATAATATTTTTAACATTAGGAATAATTATTGAAAACTAATTATAATAAGAATATCTAAAATGGATCAATACAGATGATTTTTTTCTTTCTTTGCACCAGGTACTTCTTCCTGCCCGATCCACATCAACTGATCTACACACACTTCCCTGAGGACAGTCAGTGGCAGCTCCTGGAGCGCCCAATAACACTACAGGAGTTTGAATCCATGCCTCATATGAAGCCACAGTTTTTCAAATATGGTCTTGAGTTTGTCACACATCGTACTGGAGTTATCCGCAGCCGTGGAGAGCTCACCATCCGCCTCCGTTACCCCGCAGACAAAATTGCAGTGGCTTTTAACTTCACCATTCAGTTTGAGGATGGCAATGAAGAGTACAAGGGGGTGAAACTCAACAGGTACGGTCTGCAGGAGAGCTCCGGCAGAATTGCTTCATTTACCCTCCACTTGCCTGTCGAAGGTTCCTACATCTTGTACATCTATGCTAAAGAGGATACCCCCGAGAACAAAGACAGTGTGTATGCACAAGTCTGCGAGTACAAGATAGAACAAGAGTATGTCCCGACCCCTCCCCCAGAACCGTACCCACCTTGCTCATACCTGAACTGGGGAGCTGGATCTGCCTTCTTCAGATATAACCTCAGTACTTACCAACAGTCAGCCACCTTGCACACACGGGAGGGCAAGGTTGAGTTACAGGTGAGTGTTTTTTTTTCTTCCTCCTCTTCTTCTTTTTTGTTCTCACTGCCACTGTTTTTCAGATGAGAAGGCCACAGGCCTCTGTGAAGTCTGTGTTGCGAAACATATGTCTTCCACTGTTCCATACAGCCTGGTTTCCATTGGATCGCCAGCCGGCCAAATCTGAGATTTCTCTAAGTATTAGTCGAGGTTTCAATTTCACTGCAGTCGGGTTTCCCCATACTTGTTTCGTTCCTGTGCCAGTGAAAATCAAATCAAATGTCCGTTCATGTCTCATCTGAAAAACTGGTAAACGGTTAAATATGTATTAAATTATGGGAGCTTGATGCTGTAGGAATTATAAGAGTTTAATGTTGTAGTAAATTGTAGGACCTTAATGGTATAGTGAAGATGGGAACTGAATGGTGTAGTAAATTATAGTAGGCCAGGGGGTTCTCGAACCTGAGGATTTAAGGCTGCGTGGCTAGGGTATTTACCATGAACTGAGTAGGTTCGGATTTTTTTTTTTTTTTTTTGCTTCTGACTGAAAAAAAAAAAACCCATCCCTTACTGAGAATCAAACCTGGTTAAGCATAAAATGTAGTTTTTCCTTGTCATATAAGTTTAGATCAGGACTGTCCAACTGGCAGCCCACAGGCCAGATCCGGCATGCGGAGATCTAGCAAATGGCCCACAGATCACTGCATTGCCGGTTGTAGGTAGGTAGGTAAGTTGTACCCCACCAGGACATCACACAAGCGATAAGCATGCGGTGACACAAAGAACCACCATGCGGATGAGGATCACCTATAGAGAGGTCCCAGAAACCCTGTTCAACCATTAAGCCATATTTAAGGCCGGCTATATTTAGGGCCCCGGCAAAAACCAGGGTGGGGCTTCAAACAAATTTTTTTTTTTTTTAATTAAAAAAAAAAACATTTTTTTACGTATATTAAAAATTGCTGATTGTATTAATGATCTTTCTATCCTATAGCTCAAGTCTCTGGCTCGTGACGATCCCCATTTCGATCCCTGGGTAAACTTAGTTGAATAGTCCTTGTTTTAGATGACTCAGTCTTCACATTTAAAATTTACAAACAGATACTTTTATTTCAGATCAAGATTGCCACCAACATGCAGTTCATGGCCAAGCTGAAGAGCAACAAGTTCAGCGATGCAGAGCTGGAAGGATATGTGTTACATAGAATCGTAGGCAACACCGCTTATTTCAACGTTAGCTGTCCAGGCAGAGGGGAATACGGCTTAGAAATCTACGCCAACAATCCTGAGAAGGAGGGCAGCACCTTGTACCATGTGGCACAGTACTTGATTCTTTGCCAGGAGGATGTTAAGGTGAGCCTGGGGAGGGTTTCTTGGTTTCAGTGTATGTAAATCATCATCATTCTATTGTGCCATTATGGATGAAATAGAGCTCTGGCTGCTAGTTCCAGGCTTTCTCTGGAGCTGTATTTCCATGTTGTTTTGTATAATTGGTCGCTGCCTAGAGCTACCAGGAGATCTAGTGACGCTCAACACTCAAGGGAAAGACGTGATGGATATACAATTAGACTGTTACTTGTGCCATCAGAATTCAAACTCTTCACTTGCTGCTGAAGACAGGGACTGAGCGCTTATGAGAATGTCCCTTGTGCTGTGATGTAGATTCTTAATCCAACATTCAGCATTTGCATAATTGATGAATTTTCTGATTTTCTGACATTTTTATAAGTTAATGCTAGAAAAAACTGTTTGAGCAATACAATAATGGCTGCACAGTGCATGCTGGGAGACAACAGTTCCCACAATACAGCAGGTGTGTGAGTGCATGCTGGGACATCAGAGCCTTATTCCCTGTAATCCTTATTTAGCCTCCACAAATATCAGAAAGCAAAACTTTTCTCATTACAAGTTTTACAGCCTGGTACAGCTGCTTCATTGTACCATAAGTTTGCATTAGTTTAACACCTACAAAAAAAACAACAACTGGGGAATCATATTGTCCTATGCACTGAAAAATACCATAGATGCCCGGCTCTCTAGCGAAGTTGGTTAAACCTGACTTTCGCGGCGGCCGGGTGACGAACTCCTTGTGGTCCGGGTTCACTCCCGGGGGTAGGCAGAAAAGCCACATTTCTCCCAGATTAACGGTACCTATAATGGAATCAATGCCGAAGGGTTGCGATATCCATAGTACCGAGCCAAAGGGTTTACAACTCATGGTTTCTGGATACGTAAAAAAAAAAAAAAAAAAAAAAAAAAATACCATAGATGGATCCCAGAAAAATGTATGAGAAGTTTAAGGCAGCTGATGTAATGCTAATCACTGTGTATAGCAAGCTCTAGATGGTATGAAAATATGGGCTTATCTTCAGGAAATTGGAATAGGTAGTATACACTGGCAATTTTTAACTTTTTTATCTTTTAACTTCACATAATCTGTGTGTCAATCAGGTGCCGTTTCCACAATGAAGGTTGGCTGTAATGGCTCACCGTGATTGTACATTCTCTCGAACTTATGTTATCCTCGGGGCTGAAACCATTCATAAAATGCATTAAAGACTGACAGTTTAAATGGTTTGGCCATTTAACAAGAACACCCTAATACCAACTTGCACAGAGACACATTAAAAAAACCCCCAGTAAAACCTCATTAACATAAATAAACTCACTAAAGAAGACAACTCAGTTAACATGAACAAAATTTTGGTTCTAGCAGGGATGTATTATTATTTTAAGTCCTCGGTTAGCATTTTTTTTTGTTAATACACGCACTTACTTTTCGGTCTCTTGGAATTTTGTGTTAATGAAGTTTTACTGTATTATAAACACAGAGCTAGGAGAACAACACCACATAGAAAGATGGTAACAAAATCAACCTCAGAGAGATGAAGACTGATTTACACAGTGCACTTGAAAAAGCACACATACTATCTTTATATTTCTTGTACATTTCAGTTAGGTAACTGAAAGAAGAGAAGACATAGAAGGAAGGAAGGAAGGGGGATCTTTATAAACAAACATACAATGAGAACGTTCTGACCGATGTGCTTTTGTTTGCATTCTTTCCATTCAGGTGGAACCCCTGCCAACACTGCCTCATGGCTACCTCGGCAAACAGCCAAGGTTTGACGAGTTTGGCCTGTCCTGTGTGTCTCATGTTGACCCGGTCATCCACCTGGACGTCAACACTGTCACAATTGCCATGAAGGCACTGGTGCCCTTGCGTGTGACTGCAAACTTGATTTCGGTGGATACGGATGAAGAGTTTCCGGATTTTGTGTTCTCTAACTGTCTGGCCTCCCAGATCTCCTTCATCGTCAATCTCCCAGTCACTGGTTATTACAAACTGCAAATTTATGCCATGCCGCAGTCTGACCCCAGCCAACAGTTGCCAGGTGTTTTCAACTATCTCATCCACTGCCGAGCAGTAACACAGGTATGCCATTTATGTATTTATCATCTAAATTAATTTGCCTGTGTGTCATTTTTTTCCCTTGAATAAATTGAAGCAAAATGTATCATTTTGAAGAAGACATTTATTTGTCCTTAATATAATATTTTTTTTTAAAATTCATCACCATCTTCTGTTCCTTCTTAAATCATAATCATCATTCTCAAATACATTGCCAGTTGAAACAGATGATCATGATTGATAACATCTTTCAGCATTAACTCTTTCAATGTCAGAGGACAGTTAATTTAGTTATAAATCAGCATATGGTGTGTTCCTTGGTACTCAGAGAGTTGAACCACATACATCAGTTTATGTGCGGACACCATCTCACGCCATGAAAAAGACCGCAAAGGATCATCTTTGATTCTTTTCCTCCCTCTCGCTTTCCAAGAAATCGTTCCAGTTTTCACAACATGTTCTAGCTTTATTATAATAATTGATTAAATAATGATAACTGCCTGTTTCTGATGTTTGATGTTTCTCACCAATGTGGGGGAAAACAAGAATACACCCACTGCCTACCAAAAAAAAGCATGTCATTGGTCGACTATTTGGGTGCTTCCTTCAAAGTCGGAGTATATCTGCCCAAGAAGCAAGGAACACCCATCTGCACACAAATAAGCCAGTAAAATGGATGTATACACAAAACTCGGGCCCTGGTATGAAGCCAAAGTGCAAATGGATGAACAACCAGGATTTTCTGCCGGAGCTTACAGCCTGTTAACAAAGAAGAAGAAGAGCCAGTATTTGGACAAACATGATGATATTTATGTTATAAAAATGACCTTCTGTGAGTGTATTTGATTATTTTAAGAACATGATTAATTTTGCTTTCACACAGGCTAGGTTTCCATTCCTTAAACAGTACAAATTGTGACTGTTCTTTCTTCCATACATGCTGTGTTTCCATTCCCTAAACAGTACAGTTTATGGTTATTTTCTCTTCCATACAGGCTGTGTTTCCATTCCCTAAACAATACGCTCAGTGGAAAGAAGGTTGCTTCATGTACGAGCCTGGAGTCATACCCACCAACAGGGGACCCCATGCCAGCCAAGTCCAGCTCAGTCGACTGCCCACCAAGATCAACTTCCGGGTGATCATCCCCAAGGCTGAGGCTGTAGCTGTGGTGGCTGACCAGCAGTGGACACACCTAGAGAGACTGCAGGTCAGTTCATGTGTATGGGCGCAGTTATACTGTTTGTTGAGCCAGATATGGTTATATTAAAGGGGAAGAAAAAAACATTGTCTTGACTTTCTGTAATTACCACCTTTTAGGGCAGTGTAGTATGTCAAGACTATCACCAGATTGTGCACCACAGAGAGCCCGGTCACTCAGACACAATGGAGCCAGAGCTAGAGGTGGACCACAGAAGCAATGGATAGATGGAATATCTGAGGCTGTAAATACCAGCATCTGTGTAGTACATACCAAGACTCACACCCAACACCTCTTCAAACCCTGACACTGAAATGCAGAAGGTAAAGAAGAACAAGAAAGGAGGAAGGGGAGGGGGGGGGGGCTCGGTATTGGGGCTACTTGGCTAATGCAGTCACCTGTGCAGGCTAGGATTTTATTTTTTAAAATTTGGTTATTGAAAATTTTAAATGAAGTTAGAGATAATCTCTGCCTCTCCAAATCAAATCACCTGCCGGCTGGTGTAGGACTGCCATGTCTCGCACACCGCCAGCTCTCTTCTTTTCTGCATTCACCCTTAAAAGAGTGGTTGGCAGCTAGCATGTGATATCTGCACCTATCGGCCCAACACATTCAACTTCTAACCCCTAATTAGTTGCCTTTTATATGTGTTAGGGAGTCAGTATGTCTGTTCTTTTTTTTTCACCATGGAACCCATACAGGGATCCTGGGGTCCACTTTGTGTACTGATGTCTCTGGATTCCTATAGAACAAGACTGTTTTATGTTATTTATCTTTGTTTTCTATATATCATTTTTGTCCTCAGTGGTGATTACAGTTGCAAAATATTTTGTATTTTTGAGGAACTCTTGCCCAAATCAAAATAGCTGGCTGACTTCTAACAGTCTGGGTTTTGCTAATAATAATCCCCCCATTTTTAGACCGGGAGTCCACAGGTTCCATTGCCCAGCTACTGGGTTGAGTGCTTGGTGGGACATTGAGAGCTGCATATTTCATGTGGAATGGTTTTTTTCTATAGTGTCCCCGGCATATTGTTAGCTGCACTAAAACGGTGAGTGGCCGATTACGTTCAAAGTGGTGTAAACTTTTATGGTTGCAGTGGCAACTTTCCTGATTGACCACTTGCACAATTCTGGTGTGGGATTGTTGGTGATGGCACATCTGACAGTTGTCTTATGCATTTTTACTTTGCCTTTGCTTGCTTCAAGAGTTTACCGAGTGATTTTTTTCTAACTATTTTCATTTCTTTACTCATAATTTCATCCCCAGGGCGATGAATGGGCCAAAGTCGTTGATGTCACAGGCTTGTATGGAAAAGGCGTCAAGGTCACCCTGAACGCAAACTTTGGTGGTGACAAGGCCAGCTACTCGACTCTGCTTGAATACCTTCTCTAAATGCCTGCTTTCAAATGTCACCATTGATGGCATTTACATCATTTACTCAAAGCCCATAAACTAGTATATTGCAGTTATATTGTAGAGCTTATAATCATAAGAGCCTGTTCTTTCACATATATCTGTTGTTTCTTTTGCCTTTATATCTTGTTACTGCTTACTAGCTGCTGTTTTGTTTATTTTCTTCCCACCAAAGACAGGTAATTTTCATTTGCTGCTGTCTTCACCAAAACATATACTTTTTATACGTATAAAACTTTTTTTCTCCCCCACGTAGTATAAAGTATACTGACTGTGAAACCCTGCTTCTTAAGTCTGGATGCATCAAGTATCGATGTGATGCTTGAGTGTTTTTTTTTGTTTTTTTTGTTTTTTCAAATTGAGACCAAAAAATCAGGGATCAGTTTTCTCATGTTGTTTTGTGACAATGTCTTTATGAAACTAGGATTTTTTTAAAAATTATTTCTTTCATCTGCATTTTTATGATTGAGAAAATGAATGCAGTAAGTTCATATATCTGCAGATTTGATCTCCTGTCACAGTCCATATTTTTGCTTGCATTCCTAAATAGCTGTATGCACAGTCACATTTTGACATGTATTATACTACCATATGCACGCCAAGATCATGTTTATTTTGAGGTAATTAACATTAAATGGGATGATTTCAAGAAAGACAGAGAAATGTGTGAACAGCTACTAGTATTCACAGATATGGTCATGCCATGCCTGCGTAGTGGGTAATGAACAGGCAGAAAGATTGGCTAGATCTGCACCCCTGGGTGGTGAATTGATACATGACAAGGCATGTGTGGTCAAGGCCCTTTTGGAACAAGCAACGGAATCAGTGGAGAAACAAGATTATTATGGCCTGGAGAGAATGAGGCACCTGGATGTAACCAGAGGGTCTTGCCAGGACACTACACTCAGAGGAAAGGCAAGACGGACATATAACCAGATTGTCACCCATACCATCAGCATTGGAATTGCGCTTGCTGCTGAAGATGAGGACGGAGCACACATGGGAATGCCCCGAGTGCTGTGATGTCAATTCTTGACTCAACTCAACGTGACCAGAAAAATAAAAGGGTGATATGTTTTTCTTAACATGAGAAGGAGCGGACAGGAAATTATCAGACACGAAATCACCAGACAGGCACTGCAGTGGGAAACAAATAGATTAAGGAAACAAGAAAAGATAAACCCTAGAATGCATGTTCACGAGAGAGGCCCTGGACTGGATTTCACCCATGACGTGGAAAAGATTGGAGGGTCAATGTAAGGGAGGAATTGACGACAAGCCCTGTGTGACGGATGAGTCTGGCTCAGTTTTTAACAACTGATGGCTGATCATTTGGTGCAAGCATGCTCAAAGAATACTGTGCAGAAAAACCAGAATTGTGCTGGGCTTTCAAAAATCACATGGTTGGGCTCATTTTTGGGGTCAGAGTTGAAACTAATCTGACTTCTAAATATCCTAGTTATGTTTCTTCATTGCAACACGAGCCTCACATTTTTCACCAGCCATTTCTGCCACGGATACTTGCATGCCAGCCGAAAGGTCTTAGTGTTCGAATCCATATCGATTCCAATTTATTTCTTCAAAATTGACTGTGGCCCCTCCCCCGGGTCAACTGAGCCTAAAAGTAATAATAAGTAATTTCCTGGGAAGTAAAGGCGGTTGATGTGACGTTGACCACATCACCCCCCTCCCACCCCGAGTACCAGTTGGTCTGCAAAAATAGTCTAGCATCATATGCTACTTCAAATTTTTAAAAAATTTTTTTATTGTTTCCACACAGGCAGTGCAAGCGTGTGATTAATTCTTTGCAAACAAGTTTCTTCTTCTTATTTGTTAAACTTGTTATATGCTGCTGTATGAATTCCATGACATATTTGGAGTCATTTTATGACCAAACTTACTGGGTTTATCTGTTCTCATGTCTTTCTCTCTTTAAAAAAAAAAATATATATATATTTCTGCAGTTTATTTCTTGTATATGAATGAATATTTTAAGGCGCCAACTATCTTTGTTTCATTCCTCTTGTGTGTGTGTGTCTGTGTGAGTGTATGTTTGCAATAAAATGTATACAAAAGTGGCTTTTTTAAATTGTTATCTGGCTGGTTAGTGTACTTAAATTCACCAGATTTAGTTTTATATCCGGAAAGTAGACTTAGTTTTATATCCGGATAGTCAAATATCCTTTAAAGCAGTGGTTCTCAACCTTCCTTTAAAAAAGTTTCCTCATGTTGTGGCCAACCCACACAGTTATTTTCCTTCATAACTTCAATGAAAATGTATTTTCCGATGCAGAAAGGGTTGTTTGACTCCAAAAAAGGGTCGTGACCGGCAGGTTGAGAACCGCTGCTTTAGAGAAGGGCTATTCAGCTAAGTTTGGACCAACATTTTGAAAATGGGGATCGTCACAGGCCAGAAGCCCGAGTCCCAACACAAAAAGAGGATTAATACAATACAACAGCAATGATCAGTGGGCCACTTGCCAGATTTTACCCATGGGCTGCCAGTTAAGTAGACCTGCTTTAGAATGAAAACCAGCCCCAGCTTCTGTTGGCTGTTTGTGGTTTCACTAAGCAGTACGTTCAGTAGTTTAATATTGTTTCCAGATTGGTCGACTCTCAGTAACATTGTGGATATCAACGCTAAGTAGTTTTTATGCTCATTAGTTTACCATTGTTTCTGAGTGGTCGACTCTCTCAGTAAATATATATATATTTTGTTGTTGTTGAGAAGGACAATTTTCAATAAGAAGATACTCTCTGTGTACGGGACAACAAAGTAAAAAGTAAGTAAAGGACCCTTTTCTACGCCATCAGGCATATAGGGCTAGACCTATATTTTTATAGACCAATTGGCACAAGATGGGTGATGTGGTCAGCATCACGCCGGCCGCCTTTACTTTCCTGGGACTGCACCCGGTACCCACTCAAGGCTGGGTCAACCTGGGAGCCAAGGTCATTTTCGAAAAAAGTCCGGCTCCGGGGACAACAAAACTCAGCAGAAAAGACAATCTGCATTATAGGCTCAAAGTAAGATGTGAATTTTCTGTTTCAAAATTATTTTTTTTTTTGTTTAAACGGTTTATGATTGTTTATTCCACCATTTTTGAAAGGGCTTTTCAGTTTAATTCCATTTTCCCCCCGCAATTATTTTCATTCCGTGTGAGTATTTTGCTGGTACATTTTTTTATTTTGCAATGTCTAACTGGCAGGCATTAGTGTCCATCTCTGAATCTCTCCCATGTGTTATCACAGACAACAGTGTTCATTACCTTTGAAACATTTTGAGGTGACTTATGACATTGTGAAGTATGTCTTACATTTCTTCTTTTTGTCAGTGTTTTGTTTACCAAACATTTGCCACCTTTTTTTTTTCTTTCTTACTGTCTGATATTTTGTTTGATGTCATGTGACTCAAAGCGGTCTTGTTTATGTGAATTATACCAGACTAATCGGCAGCCCAAAAACTCGCGATGTTCACCGGAGCATCCTTTGTTCGACATTTTCTATCATTTTATTTTGATTTGCATAATATATTTCAAAATAATTTCTAACTATTCGAAACAGAAAAGTATTTCTCATCTTCATTGCTTTAGACATTTGTCTAAATATTTGAATCAATCAGGGTATATAGAACTAGATAACTTTAATCAATCAGTGTAAAACATAGCCATACAATTATTTTTCTTCTGCATTATTAACAAGATATTTTTTTTAAGTGGTTAGGTGTATTGTTTTGAAATACTTATTTGTGGCACAATTCTGTTAAGTTTGGTTGGCTTTTATGTGGTGTCATTTTAGTTTCTGTTCTTAGAATTTCTTGCAATTTCATCATTTAAACATGGCCTTTCTATTATATAAATGCTTCCTTGTTATCAATAAATGCTTCCTCTATATAGACTCTCTTGTTGGTTTTATCTTTGCTTGTGAAGAACAGATGAGTTTATAATCCACTAAACTGTCATTAAGAAGCTTGTTGTAATTGTTGTTGTTAGTCCATCACGAGTGATGATTAGGAAGCTTGTTGTAATTGTTGTTGTTAGTCCATCACGAGTGATGATTAAGAAGCTTGTTGTAATTGTTGTTGTTAGTCCATCACGAGTGATGATTGAAAAGATTGTTGTAATTGTTGTTGTTAGTCCATCACGAGTGATGATTGAAAAGATTGTTGTAATTGTTGTTGTTAGTCCATCACGAGTGATGATTAAGAAGCTTGTTGTAATTGTTGTTGTTAGTCCATCACGAGTGATGATTAGGAAGCTTGTTGTAATTGTTGTTGTTAGTCCATCACGAGTGATGATTGAAAAGATTGTTGTAATTGTTGTTGTTAGTCCATCACGAGTGATGATTAGGAAGCTTGTTGTAATTGTTATTGTTAGTCCATCACGAGTGATGATTAGGAAGCTTGTTGTAATTAGTGTTGTTAGTCCATCACGAGTGATGATTAGGAAGCTTGTTGTAATTGTTGTTGTTAGTCCATCACGAGTCATGATTAGGAAGCTTGTTGTAATTATTGTTGTTAGTCCATCACGAGTGATGATTGAAAAGATTGTTGTAATTGTTGTTGTTAGTCCATCACGAGTGATGATTAGGAAGCTTGTTGTAATTGTTGTTGTTAGTCCATCACGAGTGATGATTAAGAAGCTTGTAATTGTTGTTGTTAGTCCATCACGACTGATGATTAGGAAGCCTGTTGTAATTGTTGTTGTTAGTCCATCACGAGTGATGATTAAGAAGCTTGTAATTGTTGTTAGTCCATCACGAGTGATGATTAAGAAGATTGTTGTAATTGTTGTTGTTAGTCCATCACGAGTGATGATTAAGAAGCTTGTAATTGTTGTTGTTAGTCCATCACGAGTGATGATTAAGAAGATTGTTGTAATTGTTGTTGTTAGTCCATCACGAGTGATAATTGAAAAGCTTGTTGTAATTATTGTTGTTAGTCCATCACGAGTGATGATTAAGAAGATTGTTGTAATTGT